AGAGAGAGAGAGAGAGAGAGAGAGAGAGAGAGAGAGAGAGAGAGAGAGAGAGAGAGAGAGATTTTCTTTTTTTTCTTTTTCTTTTTTTGATTTCTGTAATAAAAAAATTGAAAAAGGGAAAATACCAAGGACAAATCCGTCTAAAATTTTTGGACTAAACTCGCAACAAAATGAAACTATTGGACCATCTTTGCGAGCGAAACCCATTTTGGACCAAAGTTGCTAGTTTTGACATACCACAGGGACCATTCTTGCAATTTTGTCTTATTCAAAAGAAAGTTAATTGAGTCGTTAAATTCAAAAGAAAGACGCTGAGATATGAATTTCATGATTAAAACATAACAATCGAGCATAATTCATCCTTAAAATTCACAAGCACACAACACCACTATAAACAAATGCCTCCAACAAGACTCCAAATCATAAAACACCAGCCAAAACTAACACCAAATCATCGGCTTTGTTTCCACGTCTTCTTCCTTGCCACCATGGACGAAATCCCACCAAACCCCAACTTCATTCTTTTCGCCGGAACTCCCTTCTCATCACCACCACCACCGCCACCACAACCACCACCAAACCCCAACTTCGTTCTTTTTGCCGGAACTCTCTTCTCACCACTTCTCTTCGCCCCATTACCACTACCTTTCCCAATCATTTCTGCCAACGAAACCTTCCATCTCATACAACTCTTCTCCGGACGCTCTCCGGCCAAAAACAACTTCCGGCTCAATATCTGCCCTATCGACATCATCGGCCTCGACACCACCACAGCATCAGAATCCAAATATGTTCCATTTCTAGTGGCCTCAACTCTTCTTAAAACCTCTTCAAGAATCCTCGTACAATGCTTTACGTCTTCAGTTGCTTCCTTTACCCTCTTCAAGATTTCGTTTTCCGATAACTCCACTCGTACCTCGTTGTTTCGATCGTCGGATCGGTGAATGCTGGCTTCGGCTTTGATTTCTTCTTTTTGCAGTTTGACCTCTAATTCTTCAAATCCAGTTGCTGTTGTTGCGAGGGTTTCTCGTTCTTCTGTTGCTGGGTATTTCTTCAAATGATTGAGCACTTGTTCGCTGTTGGTCTGTGATCGATCACATCAAATCAACATGAAACCTCATTACATAATCAAGCATTAGCAAGTAAAGTAATGAGTGAGATATACCTGGGAAGGTTGAGTGGGGTTATGGGGGTGCGGTCTCCAGAAGCCGACTCCACCAAACCGGCTGACAGCCTCCATCACCGACGCAAACGGCGGCGACGTGTCCACATCCGTCTTCAATGGACCACCGGTATTCTCTTTCTGCTTCTGCTCTGAACCCATTTCAGCAAATTCACTTCCGGAATGAAAAGATTATCTATTCGTGGTGGAAGGACAAAACTGAAGATATAATTGGAAGAATAGGACCCTAAAATAGATGTAGAAAAAGGAAAAGTGGAGCTAACGGTTGGATTGTCCAGTAGGTTGGATTGTCCAGTAGACCAGTAGAGAAACCCCACAAAGCTTTTGCCGGAGGAGGGAAATTATTTCGAAGACGTGTCTCTATCCTGGGCAAATGTTTTATGCAAGAAGTTTGAACTTTTAACACCTTTAATTTCAGTCATAAAAAAAGTAGTATTTTTCTTAAGTTTTTAAACTTTTTAATACCGGTTATCAATTTATCATGGTTCTAACATGTTCGTTATAACTTCGGCACCCCATCACTCCAATGTTTATATTTACCGCCAAACTTTATCAAATTGCTGCCTTAAGTCATATATGTAAATAAAAATAAATAATAGCAGAATAT